ATTGAAGCAGTAATCAAAAAACTATGCAAGAACAAAATCCCCAGGATAGATGGATTTACCTCAGAATTTTATCAGACATACAGAGAAGAAATAATACCCATTCTCCTGAATTTTCAAAAAAATAGAAGTGGCGGGAATACTCCCAAACTCATTCTATGAAGCCAACATCACCCTAATACCAAAACCAGGCAAAGACCCCACCAAAAAAAGAAAATTATAGACCAGTATCCCTAATGAATGTAGATGCAAAAATACTCAACAAAATATTAGCAAACCAAATTCAAAAATACATCGAAAGGATGATACACCATGACAAAGAGGGATTCATCTCAGGGAAGCAAGGATGGTACAACATTCGAAAATCCATCAACAGCATCTACCACATAAATAAAAAGAAGGACAAAAACCACACAATCATCTCCATAGATGCTGAAAAAGCATTCGACAAAATTCAACATCCATTCATGATGAAAACTCTCAACAAAATGGACATAGAGGGCAAGTACCTCAACATAATAAAGGCCATATATGATAAACCAACAACGAACATGATACTCAACAGCCAGAGGCTGAAAGCTTTTCCTCTAAGATCGGGAACAAGACAGGGATACCCACTCTCACCACTGTTATTCAACGTAGTACTGGAGGTCCTAGCCACGGCAATCAGACAAAACAAAGAAATATAAGGAATCCAGATGGGTAAAGAGGATGACATGATATTGTACATAAAAAACCCTAAAGAATCCACTCCAAATTACTAGAACTAATATCGGAATTCAGCAAAGTTGCAGGATACAAAATTAACACACAGAACTTTGTGGCTTTCCTATACACTAACAATGAACTAATAGAAAGAGAAATCAGGAAAACAGCTCCATTCACAATTGCATCAAAAAGAATAAAATACTTAGGAATAAACCTAACCAAGGAAGTGCAAGACCTATACCCTGAAAACTACAAGACACTCATGAGAGAAATTAAAGAGGACACTAACAAATGGAAACTCATCCCATGCTCTTGGATAGGAAGAATTAATATTGTCAAAATGGCCATCCTGCCCAAAGCAATCTACAGATTCAATGCAATCCCTGTCAAAATACCAACAGCATTCTTCAACGAACTGGAACAAATAGTTCTAAAAATTCATATGGAACCTCCAAAGACCCCGAATAACGAAAGCAATCCTGAGAAGGAAGAATAACGTGGTGGGGGGGAGGATCTCACTCCCCAACTTCAAGCTGTACTACAAAGCCACAGTAATCAAGACAATTTGGTACTGGCACAAGAACAGAGACCAGTAGAACAGAATAGAGTCCAGATATTAACCCAAACATATATGGTCAATTAATATATGAAAAAGATCCAAAGACATACAGTGGGGAATGTCAGCCTCTTCAACAGCTGGTGTTGGCAAAACTGGACAGCTACATGTAAGAGAATGAAACTGGATCACTGTCTAACCCCACATACAAAAGTAAATTCGAAATGGATCAAAGACCTGAATGTGAGTCATGGAACCATAAAACTCTTAGAAAAAAACATAGGCAAAAATCTCTTGGACATAAACATGAGTGACTTCATCATGAACATATCTCCCTGGGTAAAGGAAACAAAAGCAAAAATGAACAAGTGGGACTACATCAAGCTGAAAAGCTTCTGTACAGCAAAGGACACCATCAAGAGAACAAAAAGGTACCCTACAGTATGGGAGAATATATTCATAAATGACAGATCCGATAAAGGGTTGACATCCAAAATATATAAAGAGCTCACGCACCTCAACGAACGAAAAGCAAATAATCCAATTAAAAAATGGGCAGAGGAG